GATATGTGGGCTTACCTACAAGGGCGAGCGCTAGGGCGAGTATGATTCCCCTCATAGTGAAGGTGAATGGGGCTCTGCCGGACATGGGGAGACTTTTATGGAAGAAAGCTCAGGAACACGTGGCTGTGTTCTGCTGAATTCTCAAGTTTTTTATCAGTTTATGTAAACACTTCCCTTTTTGCAATCATACTTTCTCTTCAGATGGAGTAACAGAAATCAGGTCATACCTTGGCATCCCACTGATTTTCTCATATAAGTCCTTTGCTGGATTGTTTAAAAGTTTCTACTTATCCTAGTAAAACAATTTTACTAGGCCATTTACAATAGTTTACAATAAACACATTACTTAATTTCCTAGATTGTGTCACAGCTGGCTGCTGGTATTTGGTCCTGCCATAGATTAGGTTGATTTTGCCCAGGTTATGCTGACCTGGCATCTGACCCAAACTGTTATCTCACTGATAGTGGCCCAATTAACAAAGTAGAGGCAGTGTCACACACGTTAATGGTGTTGTTTCCCTTCCCTCAGCATTGGTTTACGGCCACCCCTGTAGAGAGGGGATGAGGACAGCTAAACCCTTGCTATTCTTATATTCATATGTGCATCAAAGCACATTTAACATCCTACTGAAAACCTGTATATATGGAATATATATATATTTAAATAAATCAGAGGCTCAGCGTGTCCTTTCAGCTCCGGTCACACTGACCAGGAATATTTTTTAAATGAACAAAGATTTCATAAGCAATCTGTAAATATTTTATCTTCCAAGGTAAATGACAGCTAAATGTGAACAATTAAAACCCGCAGAGACTCTTAGCAGGGAAGCAGGGGGAATGGGAGTGCAGGTCAGCTAGAACTTTTGCATTTCCTAAGGAGCCAAATACAAAATGCAGCCAAGTACCTGAACTGATGTAGGCTTGCAGCCGGCTTCATCACTCATTTACACCGACAGCCCAGGAACACGTTCACGCAAGTGTTCTGTTCTAGAAATGTCAGGGGCATGGAGGCAAGTGGAGAGGCACAAAACACACTTGCCCTTTTTGAGCATGATAATAGATTGATAATCACAAAAAGGGTGGAATGAGTTCTGGTCAAGCCCCCCCCAAAGTTACACAGTCTTCCAAAGTTGAGCTGGGGGGCAGCTGGATCAACGAAACAAAAAAAAAAAAAAGGAAGAAAAATGCACAGGGGCTTCTGAGTTGGAGGGCATTTCTGGAGGAATAACTTAAAGCCCACAATTTACTGCATTGCCTGAAGTCACACAAAAAATGTGAATCCGATTCTAATTCAACATCTACAACATACTGGTTATTCAGTCACTTTATTTCTGTTCCCACAATACCTACAAGATTAGCCACAGGAGCGTGATCAGTGGCAAACACTATTTTAACGACCAGAAACGAACACTTTTTTCTATTCCAGCAGTTTCTACAGTCTCCCACTAGCAACTGCTCTTCCTGGGTCGTCAGTCCCACAAGTCTTGACTTTTTCAAACAGATTTCATCTGGGCTGCAATTCCTCCTGGGGTTGTGCAACCTCTATTTTGGGAGCTGCCATCCAGCTCACTGCAGAAGACTACATTTTGCGGGGGGACATTAGCAAGAAATGTCTCCTTTTTCACGATTATCAATCTATCCTTACATTCAAGGGAACAAGCATGTTTTGTGCCTCAGCTCACTGTGTCAGTGTGAAAACTACACCACAGTGTATACCATGGGATTTTTTTTTTTAATTTATTTTTAATTTTTTTTTTATTACAATGCAACTTTGCTGGGCATAGTGAACATTAGAGGTCAAATGTATTGTCTGAAAGCAATAAATAAATAAATCGGATAATTTGAACATTTCTTTTGGGATCAGTTTTTGGATCCAACTATATCAACCTTTCATATCTTGCCATCTACTTCTCTCGCAAATTAGATGGGGGGGTGGAAAGGAAGACAGTAAAAACAAGATGTCTTACGTGTCTTCACACACAAAAGCTTTGTGGTAACTGCAAATTAAGAAAAAAAAAAAGAAGAAAAAAGCAGCACAAAGCAGTAGCAAACTAATTCAACATGCACAGCATTGCCATTACCCTGTAAATACTTCTATTTTCCTTTCAAGAATAACCTGTTTAAATTGATAACATCTTGGGGATTTATTAGTTACCTTGGCCCGGGTGAAGTGTACATAGAATAATCCCCAAGAAAAAGCTAGGATATGGTCTGTTGTTTTGGGGTTTTTTTTCATACACATGGGGATATTTTTGTCCTGCTGCAACTGAAATAGAGCAAGTCTGCAGAAGCTGGTGGAAGCAGTTCTTCAAATTAGGAAGAGGGCTGTTTTGTAGGGAGAAAGTTTTCTTAAGTAAAGTTTTCATTTTTTGCTATACAGTCTTTTGCAAAAGCTATATTGTATCATCCTCAACCACTGGGGATGAAAGGGAAAAAAATTAACAGCTGTAATCTAATCCTGGAAAGTACGTTCTCATACCTAGTCAGACTGATGTTTATGGTGAAAGCGCTCTCTCATCACGTAGACTGAAAAAGCAGCAATACATATTATATCGACAGATTTTGTGAAATAAACCACCATAGTTTAAGAGATCCACTCATCTTTTCAGTATCATGCATAGGTAGCGAACGATAACTGTACGCGAATCAGTCACTGGTAGTCAGTACTTCTTGTTCCTTCTTAAGTAGGCCGCTTGCTCCATTATCTCAAATATGCACCTGTGTGTAGCGACACACCCGTATCACACTCCTGGGAGCAGTCTCCCTCTTTGCTCTTCAACAGTCTCTCAGTAAGAAAGATCCTGAAGTTGTTTCCAACGCAGTGAAGTATTACAATGTCACCGTACTACCAACCAGACCCCCTGCAGTATTCACACCGTCATTAGCAGTGGCTTCAGATTTAGAAGCTTCCCGATCACTGCATATAGAGCAATCCGAAAACTCTAGGCATGTTTTCTTTCTTTACAGGGACAGGGCTGAATCTGTACCCCAGACTTCCAGATCAGGTCTAAGAGGTCAGCTCGGGACTCAACTGCATACACGCTTCTAGCACAGCTGGTTCTCCCACGGAGGCATTCAAATGAATTTCCACTTCTGTAAGATGGGTTACAGAATGTTGAAGCAAAAATTAGTACAAAGTGTTCATTGATTACTAATCATTCAATAATAGGCACAAACAAAAGATTAAATAGGTAAATAATTTTGTTCTTCGAAGGCATTATTATCCTAACGATTACTGTCATGAAGAAAAGCTGCCTAGTAAAAAAGTCCAACTAAACCGAATGCATTTAAGCAGCCCAATAAAGCACCGGCAGGCACACCTTAATTACTTCAGAAGAGCAGCAGCCCCTAGTGGCATACTGATACTGCCTCAACTATGGCCTTACAGGCCTGGAATAACCTACTAGCTTGAAAATAAGAATCCTACATGTAAAGTACTGCTCTCCCACTCAATTGCCGATATATTACATTTTTCACTTTACATCTTTAAATATGTTTTATGTATATTTATTCTTCCATAACTAAAATTCAGGCAAGAGCTGTCCAACACGTTGTGGGGAAGGTGTAAGCCCAGCAGTAACTATACACGGCTAAACCCTTTCAGCAGATGACATGACTACGATCACCCATTTATTGAGGGGGAACTGGAGAAATTAAAAAAAAAAAAAAGAAATTTGATGTTATTTGTATCGTCTTTCCAACCTGACTACCTATGCAGCAGAAAGCTGACCAAGAATATCATTATATACACGTCTGCTTCCTTAAGGGTGCTGTGCGCAAACCATACTACAAGTATCCTCTGCAGTTTGCATTGGCTACTACTTCATCTCAAGCTGCAACTCAATGTACTGAACTAATCAGCAGAAATCGCAGTTTTCTGTCTTAGCTCCTTGGAGAACTCCAGTTTCTTCCCTTTCCTATGTTATTCTATTGCTGTTTTTCCAGGTAGTCCAATCATTCCACTACATCCAATTCTGAAGATAACGGGCAGAGCAGCAATGCGCTTTCAGTGAAGGATTCTAAGCTTCAGAGTTAATTTCCTTCCTACAACCCTGAGAAAGGCAGAAGTTTCTTAGACATCTTCCAAAAGGTCAATTACAGTAGGATCAGAGCTACACACATGCGTTCACAGATGCACGAAAACCAACAAGAGACAAGATGGGTTTGTAATGGGGAAGAAAGAGCGCATGCTTTGAGTCAGGTGAAGGAGACTTCAAAAGATCTTACCTCTACTTGGCTACTTTTATTACATTATAAACAAAACAGATTTCCCAAAGGCTACACCAAAAGATTCTGGAGTCAATTAAAAGGAAAAACTAACAAAATACAAAACCAGCATCAGATTTGTTGACATAGCGTACAGCCCTACAACCATGATAGCTTAAAAGTTTAGTGCACACAAAACACAGAACCAGGGTTTCTTAGAATTACACGTTTATTGTTCACATTTGAAATAATTTGGTTCCTGACTGAACCACTGAAAGTCCTAATGCATCTGTAAACTGAGTATCACTATAAAACATTTAAAATGCCATGTAAAATAATATTATGTATGCATGGGTTTCATTTCATGGTTTCTCAGCATAATCACTTTGTCTATTTACAAATATATAAAGGTTTTGCACTTTAAGTCATCTGAAATATATCAAAGAGGTATTTTCAAATCACACAACTTAATAAATATAGAACCTGTTTTGTTAAAAATCTACAGTATACTGTACATTCAAGTTGAGGCAAAAGAAGTTTTAATACCAGTTATGCTTGAGACATAAATGAATGTTTCCAATAATTAAACAATTTCTAAAAGTGCTATCTCTGCCTGTGATGAAAGGTAACATTAGGATCCAATATTTCGTTACAGTCAAAGTTTCAGACCATTGCTTCATTCACAGAATCAGAGCTTCTGTTACTAGAAAAATATCAAAGCTTTTATATATTTTTAAATTATCTTCTTTCAAGAGTTGCAAGAAAGAGAGGCAAAAAATGGTCTAAAAAAATAAAAGCCATGTGCACGCACATACACACACACGCCACAATTCAGATCACCACATAATCCTCTAGAAGAATGATCAAACTCACAGCATTCTGCTTCACTTTAGAATGATAAGTTTATGAACAAATTTCTAACAAAAAACCCAGCAGGCAACCCTAGGAAGTCTAAGGCAGTTGTTCTATGTGCAAGTTTCTACATAGCAGAGTGCCAACTCCAGAGTCTTCCCATGACTTTGTGCGTTACTCGGTTTCTTCTTTGTCACTTTCCACCCACTGATTTGGCTTGCTGTCTCCAGCAGGTTTTTTTGATGCAGCACTGGAACTGGGAAAGAGAGAATGTTACAATGCAAATAAATTATGCTTTGAATAGCAACACAATACTGTTTTTATGATATGATGTTTACTATGTTTTGCTCTATATCAATCATAAGCCTTAGATTAGGCTTTCTGCAAGTTATCACAACTTAGTCTCTGTGCTCTACGTAGAGTTTAGCACTATAAAAATAACCATCTGCAACATCATTTCAGATACCTGTTACATGTAATATGCTGAGATGTCTGGCAAGGTTCTGCTGAAACAGGACCACTCAACATACAGTGAGGTTTTCTTTGCTGAGATGTGGATTTCACTAACCGATTGTCTTGGTCAGAACCTAGGAGAGATACATATCACCAGTTAAACTACAGTGCAACCAAAAATGTTTGAAGGACTTGCTTCTTTATGCCTTCTGCTTAAAAAAATTAAAAAATTAAAAAACAAAACAAAACAAAACCACACCAAACATCTAATGGCATGTCTATAATAATAAATCTATTGCTGTAGATATGTGATACAATTTTATAAGTACACTTAATGCTATTGAATGAAGTTACGTTAAAATTAGGATTCTAAATTTGAAAATGAAGCATTTACATACACACCACTGCTGCAAGTAGTCATATTGAAGTCAAGTTTAAAGTCACTCAAATGTAAAGTTTCTTGCTTTACAACTGATAAAGCTTTTTTACTCCTTAAAGTAAAAACTTCTCCAGCATGCATATACAGTAATTAACACCAACATGAGAACTTGCAAACTTGCCAGAGTATAGAAAAAAAATTTAAAAGGCAATAAGTTAGATGTCTTAGCATTGATATGAACTTAACCATCACTAAAGTCAATGGAAAGACAAGGCCAAACTTGGCAGGGCCAGATCAATCCCCGCTAACGCTTCTTCACATTTAGATTTCAAAGCTTTCATATGAAGTGGAAAGAAATAGAATGATTCTGTATTCTACAGTAGTCATCATAGCACTACAGAATTAAGAGTTTTTGGACAAGTGTTGTGAAAAAGGAAAATTTAATGTTAAAACAATTCTAAAGATAACCTGTGGAGTAACATCCAAATGGAGTATGATTCTCTGTGTGGTGAACATATTTTTGTTTTTATTACTATTACCCAGTAGCTTAAGATTAGGATATATAAGATTGAAGAATGCCATTTAGAAGAGAAAATATGGCATTAAATACATCCAGAAACACTAGAATTTGGAAAAAGGCAATTTACAAATCAAAAGCTTTAGTGTACAATGAATGTTAAACAGATCTCAAGTTGCTCACAGGTCACTAAATCAAGTCATTCTTCATGAGCAACAGGCAAACAATCTCAATTCTGTTCCTAAAAATAAAAGTTTTCCTACTGTGGAAGATCATTTCATTTCACACTTACAGAAGCACTACAGGAATTGCACAGAGGAGAAACAAGGAGAACCCAGAACACATGAGGCAGGCTACTTTATCTAACAAGAATACACATTCAAGCTATCTTTACTTGCCAGGTGTTTCACACATTTATCTTTAAATGTTGGCTGCCACACAAGAATCTATTTAACAGAGATTATTGTTACTTTTTCCTCCCCCATCCCTTATTTTGTCTCTCCCCCCACACCCCTTAGAAAGTATTGAAGGCTCAGTGGTGAAGACCAAAACACTGCACAGGCATGTTCAGGCATAAGGGGGTGGGAAATGAGCTTACCAACTTGAAAGAAAAAAAAATTGTAGAAGAAAGGAAGTAAAAAATACTTTCAGTAAAAACAGTATTCCAAACTATATGTCATATAGCCATATTTTCATTATCTTTTTCTGAAGAAATTATTCCTTTACGAAGATTTGAATCTTAAAATTTGTTTATTGCTCAAATTTATTTTCGTTATCATTATGCTCTTTTCACTATTTCTTTTTCCAAAGGATTCTTTTTTACTGAATATGTATGTGTACACATGTTTAATATTTCCTCATCTCAAACAATTAATGCTGCTCTCTCCACGTTATGGTGCTCGTTTCCAAAACTTTTTTCTAATCTATACAGATCTCTATAGGTCATGATTTCTTCAACTGCCTTGGCAATTAATATGCTCACATTTAATTTAATTTAGTAATTCTAAAAGTTCCCCGTTCTTAACAGCTGTGCTGTCAGGTATTTGACATTCACCAGATTGCTTCAAATATAAATTCGTTACATAAGTAATTATCAGGGAGGGAGTTATCACAATTCCCTTTTTAAAAGGAGATTTTGAACCATCAGTTACCCTGACAGTAAAGGCATAGAGATACATGGTAAAATTTGTCTTGGGAAGTTTTGGGTTTTTAATAGTTTTGTTCATATTTGCATCTTCTAGTTGAAAGGGGGAAAAAGAACACATTACAAGAACATAATTTGAACCAAATACTTGCTTCCTAAGAAGGCACTTGGAGTTGTCACATTTTCAGAGTGCTTGTAATCAGTACACATACTTAAGAACTGTTGCTTCAGCCACGCTCCTCTATCTTCTTCAAATGCCTTTCTCTAGGAAAAGAAATGACAGTTTACATTTATGACCACAGGAACAAGCTTAGTC